TATTATTCATAGAAAAAAAGTTAAACTAAACACATAAATATATAAAAAATTATGTATACTATTCTGAAAATAATTCTCCAAACCATTACTAGTTATACTCTTTCCATGAATATTTAAAAAAAAAATAGATGGAAGGGATAATATTGAAATGCATGAAACATGAGTTTCTATTAATGAAATAAAATATTGGAATGCATTAAATATGTCATTTTAATTGAGTTTTTATTCCTTTTTGTTTTGTTCGATTTTTTAAAAGTTAAATATGTTTTTAAATTTCTAATCTTTAACTTGAAATTTGTTTATGACTTAAACTTTCACACGGAATTCAATAATGTTAAATTTTTTTTATGTATCAAACAATGTTTTAGTTGACATTTGAGTTATTTACATTGTTTGACACGTTTCAGTTTAAATATTAGTTTCCAATGCCATTAAACATATAAGAAAAATTTAGTGACACTAGATTAAAAGAATTATATTTATTCATTTTTAAAATTTGGAAATCAAAATATATCAAAATTTAAAACATAAACTAATGCAATTATTGTATTTTACTATGCATAATATGCTTCGATTTTATAAAAAATGTAGACTATGAAAATACGTAACATTTTTGCAATTTATGATAAAGAATAAGTTACAATTAAGTAATAACATGAACTTGTACTCTAGAAGTCATGGTATAAGCTAAGGTTCTCTTAAATAATCATAACATATGTTCTCGTAACCAAAGAATAGGCTACCGTTCTACTAGTAGTAGTAGCCTATTTTTTGGTTATAATATATGCTACTGTTATTTAAGAGAAATGTAGCCTATACCCTGACTTCTATTGTGAACTTTTTCTTGTCCTGTTAGTCCTTGTTGCATCCTGCGCAATTGTTATTCATCTTCTCAACATTGTGGACACTACTCCTCCATTTTCTTTCATTCTTCTTCGGTTTTAGCACCCTAATAAGGTTTTTTTGCTCTTCCTTTCATTTTTCTTATGTTTCAATGTTCATTCAGAGTGATGTAGTGATGATCTTCATTTGCCTGCAGGTAAATTCAAGGTGACGCGATTAGGAGGTTCAACATTTTTACTTGGCCTGTGCATATCACTTTTGTCTCCTGTCGATGTGAGCCCTTAAATAGGATTTTCTCTCATTTTGCTAACTCATTTTCTTCCTTAGGGTACATTCAAGTTTTTCTTCCTCATTTCTCTTTTGTCTCTTGTTTTGTCTCTCATTTTATCTTTGTTCATGTTTGTTTGAAGAACTTTTTCTTTATTATCTTTGCTCACCATTAATGTGTTATTGTTTGTTTTTTTTTCACAATCCTTCAAACACTACACGTTTAAGCTAAAACAGTACGCTCTAAACATTACTCTCATAAGTTTTTCTCATCCATAATAACTTATTTTTTGTTGTTAAATATCAAGTTAATTTTTCAAGTTATTTAATAAAGTTTAGAAGTTACTAAAATAAAAATAGATATATTTTTAAAAAAATCGTAATAGGTTTTGGTTGGAAGAAATAACCATAGCTTATAGTCATAAATAAGCTACTATGTTTTCATCCAAATATATTTAATAAAAAAATTTAACCCAATATACTACAATTTTCTTAGATCCTTAGTATATTATATATTATAAGATACTATTATCAATCATAAATTATAACTCATCCTTTGTAACATCCCAAAATATATAGTAAAAACTATATAAAATAGTAGTCATCATTATAATATTATAGAACAGTTAGAGACTTGCAGATAAAGAGTTAATCTTACAGTCATCCAAAATGGCTATAAAATTTAAAACTTTATATACAATGGAGTATTTCAAAACTTATACAAATAAAATAGGACAACCTAACTAAACTAGACAGCTGCATCATCCTCCTCCAAAACTTGCTCCAAAGGCACCTTATCTCTCTTTGCTCACATCGATCAGATGATCATTGCAAAAGAAAAGAACCACACATACAAAAAGACAAACACAAGCAGAAGGGTAAGCTAGATACACAAGAAAACATACACTATATTAACATATAACATACACCAGATAATTCAAGCAAAGTAACTAAATCACACATCCTAGCATATCATATTCTAGACTTGACTCGTCCGGACTTAGAATGATTGCCGAACTATGGTGGGTCATGCACTCGTGGTGACCTCTACTGCTTTGCAAAGCCATTGCCAATGGGTTTCACCCTACCACCCTCACGAGGTTAGTCTGTTTCGGGCCTTGAGGCATACTGGAAGCGCCCAAGACTAAGACCTCCTGCTACTCCTCACGACATGGTTCAATCCTCTCTACTTGAGAAAGAAATATCATTGGAGTTTCAGGATAACCCCCAAGACTGAGCTCCTGCATTCATTCTAAACAACCTGGAATCTCACCAAGAGATTCTCCACTGAAACTTACATTCACCCCTTTGAATCACATACTTTTATTTGTAATTAACATCCATGTTTATCCTCTATTATATAATACAATACACTCTCAAACATACTTCACAAATCAAGCAACACCCAACATAGTACAACACAAGATAATAGAAAAAGATAGTAAAACTAAACTCAGAACTTTCGCACAACGCACCCCATTCGCATAGCGAGACCAGGAGTTTCTCGCACAACGACTTGTCTCGCTATGCGAATTAACTCGCAGCGGTATCAGACCTCAACCTCTCGCATAACGCCCCTAGGTCACTATGCGAAAGTCCAGACAGAGACCAACCTTCTCAACCACTCACTATGCGTCCCTTTTTGCTCTTCGAATAAAATTAGAAAAAGTCCCAAACCCCAACCAGAAGCATAGCGTCCTAATTCGCCATGCGAATCACTAGACAAAGAGCAACCCTCACCATCCATTCGCACAACGCCCAAACTCGTTGTGTGAATGTCCAGACAGAGAGCAAACCTCTCAAGTCATTCGCACAACGCACCAATTCGCTATGTGAAAGCCCTAGGCAGAGAGCATCTCGCCATAGCGACTCGCTATGCGAAACTATTCGCACAACGAGTCTGCATAATCTGCAGAACGAAATTCTGCAGAACGAAATTCTACAGATTTATATAAAATGCCAATTCTAACTATTTTTCCCAACTTCTAACACTCGTAGATTGTATTATATACCTAAATAGACTTGTCTAAGTGATTCTAAACATTCCTATCTTCAATCTAAAGTGTATATGAACCAATTTTCATTATAAAACATCAAATTCATCAACTTAAGGACCCAAATTCAAATCTCCCACTTTGCACACGTTTTTGACCATTTGAATGGCTCAAACAAGTCACAAATGACTTATCCAAAATATCCCAACAAATCAATTGAGTCCTTAACCTTTAGCTCTTATTTTCACTACTTCACTTCCTCCAAATAGACTCAAAACATGCAGACAGTTAACCTTCTATCTAGTTACTCTTATGACAAATTTCCCTCAGCCATATGATCAAAACAATTTTACTCCACATTCATTTTAGTTTAAAATCATCAACTTCACAAATTCAAATTACATAGAACACCATATTACTCAAATTCCTAAATTTAGTTCAATCACTATTATATCACAAACTTCATCACACATACATACCAGAATACTAATAAAAAACATAAATCTAACTTCCCTTATCTTAGAGAAGTACCACCCAACTCACAGAGTTACTCCGACAATGCCTTGCACAGTAAGGAAACTCAACAGAAACCTACAACTCACCAATTGGAGATAGAAATTCAACTTTAAAACCTAAATTGAGCTAAGAATTGAAGAGAAAGAGTATAAGGCACATGCAACCAGAATCTGCTGCATGCCCACAGCCCCAAAAAACTCAGAAGAAAAGAGAAACGACTTACCAATTGAAGAACAAGAAACTGATCGGTCAAGATCGTAGCCTTCGACACCAGGATCGCCTAGACACCTCCTGATCGTCGAATAGTTAACTCAGTTGGAAGGAAATCTAGAGAGAAGTGAGAGAAAGAGTAGAGAACAATTTTTAAAGTAAAAAGCTCGTCTCATTATTTTAATACACCTATCTACTCTTATACTCTATTTTCTAGGTTCTTATATCCTTTATTGCTATGCTTCTTGAATATGCTAATATGCTAATGTTTGTTAACCATAATTTAATAGGAAAGATACTCATAATCATATCTTTTTCCTACACTAATAATAAAATTTCAATTTTACATCTAAATTTATGAACTAAAAACATATTAACCTTTTTTTTTTAATCAAATGACGTAATTTTTTTTTTCAAATTGTCGAACAACTCTCACATTTTATTTCTCAATATGTTTTAACTTTTTAATCAATTGTAATAGAATTGAATGAGTTAACCATGGATGGAAATGCAAGGAAGATGAAATGAAATAATAAACGATTTGGAGACCAAAAAAAAATCAGCCATAATATTACGCTAATAACATAAATCAAATAAAAAATATTTAAAAATCAAATAAAATATTATAAATAAACATTTGTGCAAAAAATAATACATAGAAAAATGACAGAAATGGGAATAAACAAAAGATAAACTACACAACATCAATTTTTTTTTCTGATTGTGAGGACCACATGCATTTACATGGGTTGGTGTAAAACTCTTCTTTTGGGCTATAAACAATAAATACATAGAGTGATAGCATAGAAATACCGTTACTTTTTCAACCACTTTCACCAAATCACATAATATATTTTTTATTATCTCTCTTCTATTATTAGATTCTTAACCTTATCATCCATGTTTGATTGATCAAGTAGTTGTTGAAAATTACAGTAAAAAGTATGACTAATAACACAGTGAAATGTGTTCATGAGACGAGCTCTCACAAGTTTTCCCAGTTTGAAATTAAACAACGTTACACTTGAAACATGAATTAGGTGAAACTTTTTTCTAATTTTTTATGTATTTTACTAAGTCTATTTGTTTTGTCTTTGCTGAAAGAAACAACATAGGTGTTATTACTCACGAACCATGAGCTTTTTTCTTCTATAAATATGGCTTTAAGAAGTTGTTTCTTGACATTCTACTTTCCTCTTAGATTTATTGTCTCTTGCTGACTTCTACTTTTGGCCACAATGGCTTGTTCACCTTCTCTGCACATAACAATGCTCCCATGGTTTGCACAGGAACACATCACACCTTTTCTGCAACTCTCCAATAGCCTTGCAGAAAGAGGACACAAAATCTCTTTCTTCATCCCAAAGCACACACATGCATCCTTTCAACACTTCAATCACCACCCTAATCTCATCTCCCTTATCCCAATCTGTGTTCCTCAGAATCATCATCATGGCCTTCCCCATGTTGCTGAAGAAATCGCATCAAAAGTTCATTCTTCCACTGTCTCACTTTCTATGACTCCAATGCTCCTATGTGAGAAGGACATTGAAGTCCACCTGCTTGAGTTAAAGCCAAACATTGTGTTCTTTGATCATGCATATTGGGTGCCAAAACCACGCTTAACTCAATGCTTAAAAATTAAGTCTTTAGTTTATCACGTAATAAGCTTTTCATCATTGACTTGTGAATCATCATATTCATACCCTTTAGGGATATCTAAAGGGTACTGCTGCAACATTGCTGAACATCATAACCTGTTGCATGAACCAAAACTCCTTGCTGGATCAGGAAAAGTTGACCATGGTAAATGCATTGTTCACACTGAACCTTGTACTAACAGTATTCTAGCTCAATCTTATGCAACAGGACTCAAAGGTTGTACAGTGATTGAAGGAGCTTATGCTGATTGTCATAGGAGGCATGTTACTGTACCGAAAGAAGCAACTTGCCTTATTGATGAAAATTGGGCTAAATGGCTTGGAAATTATGAAGCTGGTAGTGTGGTTTATTGTTCCTTTGGTAGTGAGTGCACATTAGAACCATGTCAGTTTCAGGAAGTGGTGTTGGGGCTTGAGCTATCAGGCATGCCTTTTGTGGCAGCTCTTAGACCCCCTAAGGGTTTTGAGTGTGTGGAATCAGCACTTCCAAAAGGGTTTAAAGAGAGAGTTCAAGGAAGAGGGGTTGTGAGTAGTGCATATTTTCCTCACAGGTTCATTTTGGAGCACCCTTCAGTGGGGTGCTTTGTTACCCTTTCTGGACATTCTGGGTCTTTGTCTGGTGCACTGGTGAACAAGTGTCAGTTGGTTTTGTTGCCAAATCATGGTGAAATGGTGTTCAGTGCAGGGGTGATAGGAACCACCTTGAAGGTTGGAGTGGAAGTGGAGAAGTTGACCACTAAGAGGGTTTCTTTACTAAAGAGAGTGTTTGCAAAACTCTGAAATTATGCAAAATTGAAGTTAATCTATGTTTGGCTTATCTAAGAAATAAAATAGATAAGACCCTTATGTTGTGCCGTTGATCAATACAATTATTTGATGTTTTGTGCAATTAGAGTATATATGCATATTTTATTTTTATATTCAATATAATGTATAAATCATAAGTACATTTATGAAGATGTGTTTAAAGAATATAAGACAATGAACAGTAAAATATTGTTTTCCAGTATTTAAGACCATTACATTTTCTACCACTCCATATCAATAGATACAATAAATACGTGGAAACCAACTTCCATTTTTAATTTAACTTTCTCAACGATTTTTCTTTTAGAATCCAAACATAGTTGGAGACCATTTTGTTTTAGTTTATAATTTAAAATACTTTTTTTTTTCCAGTTTGTTTACACTCAATGCATGCCAGTTAATCTCTTTTAAAAAATAACATGAGAGAACAACACATGAATAGTGTATTTTGTCAATGAAATTTTCACTTCTTTAATTGATATATCTTATTAAATATAGAAAACAACCAAATAAGGTTCAGTATTGGTTCATGCATGACCAGATTCAAACCATATTGCAGGTTCTTTTGTCATTTCTTATTCATAATAGCAAGTAATGGACCAGTTTACGTTTAGTTGTGTTTAAGCCCAAATCTTTAATTCTAAAAAGTAAACCAATCTCGTGAACATCCACAGAGTGGATTCACATGACACACCTAAAAGTATGTGAAACCAATACAAAATATTAATCCAACAACACTCCAAATTGCTGTGTGTATAAATTAACATTTAAGGCAAAACCACAAGTGTAGATTAGACCTAGTTGCTTGGAGAACCTGGTCAAGCAGAATATGGCACATACCAGTGGCAATGTTCAGGTGCAGTGGCTACTAGCAACCTTGCTCATTGCCATGTTAGGTGGTGCCAAAGCTATTGCTTTATGTGACACAGAGTCAAGTAAACTAAGTGCATGCTATGCAGCAGTTACTGGGCAACACCCTCCAAAACCAAGTGAAAAATGCTGTGATGTTGTTAAGCATTCCAATTTGCCTTGCCTTTGCGGATACAAGTCTATCCTACCAGCCTTTGGATTCAACCCCATCAATGCTTTGGCCTTGCCCCGTAAATGTGGTCTGAAAACACCACCGGAATGTAGAGGTAATAGTCTTTTATGCCTGAGTAGAACTTTTATTAACATAAATACAACTTAGACTGATTAGATATTCTTCATTTTGCAGTGGTTTGAAGAATTTCTTGAGAATCACAGCTAATTTGAGCACCCTTTAGTCTTTAGTTTGCTTTCGTGTGCTGTATTCATGTTGGAAAAGCTTTTAAATTGGCATTTTCGTCCCATCAAATAAACGAGTAGTTTGTTTTCAATCTCTGCCTCTACCACTCAAAATATCTAGCCATGTATCATGCAACTTCGATCTGTAGTCTAATAAAATGTTAGTCTTTTTTTTTTTTCTGTTTTCTGAATTCAATGCACAGAGAAATAAATGGATCAGAACAGAAGTATTTGAATGATTTCAATGCACTAGTATCTGGTCATAAAAAGGCAGCAATCCAAAACAAGACATTATGCTCATGAACTTAACTCAATAAAAACTATTTTAATCAACACCATTCATTAACTCAAATGTCTGCAGCTACTAACAAGCCACAACATTCATGTCCAAAGGAAAATATGCACTCCATTGAAGGTTCAAGTAAGTTCACACTCCTGTGTGAGAATCCAATGACAGTTCCTTTCTTTTATTACTTACCATATTCCTCATTTGAGCATAAGAAAAACACTGGCAATGAATCCTCATTGCAGCTACTCATCTTCAAAATTGGATCTAAATGGATCATCATTTGTGATCCAACATTCAAGTGCATCACTGAGATATACATGATTTGCAATACTGCTAGCACTGTGACCCGTTATTATGAGGTCCCCCAAAAAAAGGTCTCATGTAGGCATCATCAAACCTCCTCCAAAAGTGATGTATGGTGAACACAGGACTTTCTATTAACATGGACAAACTTTCCTTTGCGCGGCTGATGTTGGTGGCTGCGGACTCCTCAAGGGATAGCAAAGGTAGATTCAAGTCCTCAATTCGTGAACCTGGTTCTTCATGGATGATGTTTTTCCTTGTAGCAGCGTGGGGTAGCAGATATCTTATTAATGGTTTTGTGAGAAAACCAAACACCTGCAATGATATTGGAGCTATATCAATTACTTCAAGGTTGTACCGATTCATAAGAATGAACAAGCAACATGTGATCAAAAGGTGGATGACAGCAGATGCAAGAATTGATTTCACTAAGAAAACAGTTGAAAATTAATCTTTTTAACTCCACCTGAATTATTCTAAGTTGTTATTTGTTACTTTCAGGACAGAGGGAATGCCCCAACTCACCAGTGTGCTGAAAAGGACAACAATAATGGTGTTGGTAATCATTGTTGCATTAACTGGATCAGAAGTAACTCCAGAAAATGTGAACTGCATAAATAAAAGAAAAGAAATCAATGGCATCAACTTCTTAAGGTGTGATTGGTTGTTTTATAACTGTGGGAGGAATGTCCATAAACAATACAATGGTAAATAAAACCTGATAGGATTATCCAACAAAAGAGGAATAAGAAGCTGACAGTCTTTGGATTAAAACTCATATATTTGATAAAATTTGTGTAGAACTTTGAATTCATGTATATACCTGTTTGAAAGCCAGAGCAATGGAGACAGCTCCCCTCATTAGCCCTGCCCACCAAATGATTATCTGGATGGTTTATCAAACATAAGAATCCAATAAATAACAATAGATAGTTGCTCAATTAACTGTAAGTATGAGATTATCATACAAAACATGTTTAGTAACCTGCTGTCTGAAAGTGATGCGTGATGCTTGGTCAGAACTGGCACGTGTGTTTGTATAATTGGCAATAGCAGAGAGAGGGAAAACAAAAGCAGCACGCCCAACCAATATCAATAGGATTAAGGAACTGTATATCCCCATCAAACTTCCGTAACTGCAGTGAGTCAGTGGACAAGATAATCTTCATGAGAGAGGAATGACGTTTATCATTCTAATGCGATATGTTTGAAACATATCTCACAAATTATTCTTAAGAAAATTCCAGAAACACAGGTGTTGCAAAACAAATGCTTAAGATCAAGTTTGTCATCATAATGAAAACGATTTCTAGCAGCAGAAAATAAGGTAGCTAACATGTGGTTTCATTCATAAATCCAATTATTACCGAATGTTTCACAATTAGAAGCAGATAATACTTGACAATTAAAAATAATGTTTTTTTTATCATAACCAATTGTGTCACAATCTGATAAATACTTGGACATTGTTGAAACAGTGGCTGAAGTCACATTGACTTATCTATGTAGACCATAAATTCTGCCATCAGTGTGTGATGTATTAGTCAGTGGTAAACTCTGGATAAAATACAATTGTTTAGAGTTGTAGAAAGGATTAGGACCTTAATTTAGTCATCTTCCACTTCTCAATGTCAAGGGCATCCATGCCCACATATAGGAATATGAAGGTTTCTGCAATAAATGACATTGTTGCAAACACATGCCTGAAGAAGGGAAACAAATCAGGAAACCATTTTTAATCTGGAAATTACTGAAATCTTTGATGGATTAATTAATCCCTACCTGGTTGTGATTCTTGAAGTTTCAGCCATATTATACCATGCATAATGTGACATGAGTATTCCACAAAAGAAAACGGTGATGATTCCACTTAGATCACATAGCTGCAAGAATTTGCAAAAAATGGATGGCCAAAACGAAAAACGAAGTTATTTCTATATTTCTTGTTTAGTTCATCATTGTAGACAAAAATAGATTGTCTTTAAATAAAGATAGAAGGTTTTGGCAAAACTTTATCTTATGCTAAGTTTTACACTACATTGGCTCCTTATAAATCCCAAATCTCCATTAGCTTAGCTACCTACATGCCATTAATATCATCAATGCCATTAATGAGAAATCAAAAGCAGAAAAGTTCTACGAGCTTCCTTCCAATACCTCTGCCAACATATAGGATAGGTATGCCTTTAATATCATCAATGCAATTTCACGAACACTTGAATGTCTGCATGCATACGCAGAGACAAACTTGTTAAACATTAACTCAAAATTTCACTTGAAAAATCATATTTTGTGAGAAATTTGAGAGAATGATACATACCTTCCAAAGCATAAGGCTTTCAAGATATATGATGTGAGGAGGCCAGCCTGCATAAATATGCATTTATTTAGAGAAAGTAAATAAGATGAAAAATAAGATGAGAAAGTACAAGGACTAAAAGTTTGTTCAAAATAAACATGGAATTTGACTCTTACTTGATCATACCTTTCAAGTAATCATGAGAGGAGACTACATACATGGAAAAGCACTTTTCAGTTCCATATAGATTCCCTTCCTTCACAATTACAATCCAAATGCTCTTTATAAAGTCATGTATTGTGTTAACACAATACATTTACAAGTGTGTAATGTGCAAGTCAAGCATGGAAACAGCTTGCAAATTTCTTCCATAAAAGTCTAAGTTAAAAATGAAATCAACGTTTTGAATCAAATGTTAATTCCCAGAGACAAACTAAAAGGTAAGCAAGACAAGCTTTGTAAACTTCACTCATGAATGCTCTTTCATTCAAAATGTGTAGGTAACATAAGATGCATGTGAAAGAAACACAAGCAACTAACTAAAGAAATTAAGAAGAAATTCATAAAGTCAGCTGACCACACATGAAGAAAATTAACAGGCAAAATTTGCATCCATTAATGAAACTCACTAGAACTCCTAGACCAGTGCTTAATCCGAATAGATAGAAGAAATCTCCAATAAACCGGAATGTCTTGCTGCTAAATTTTGAAACATCAAGCTTTTGCACTGCATTGAAGAGAACAACTGATGTGGCATCATTTACCACTCCTTCCCCAAAGACTAGGCTGTAAAGTAAAGGAGTCTCATCTTGATGCAGAACCTACAACAGATTCCAAATTCAGAGTTTGACAATTAAGAGCATACAAAAAGAGTTAGATGAAATGAAACACTACCATTTAGCAATCTAACCAACCTGCAGGGTACAAACTGTGTCCGTTGCTGAGAAAATTGTTCCTATAGCTGAATCAAATCAAGATAAGCTTATTATTTTTCATCCAAATACGATATATCTAAGTACATGGTTCATTTAAAACATAGTCTGTATTTGTGCAGTATTGAAATGATCCAATGGCCTCACCAAGATAATCTTTCGCTGTCAGGCCAAGCAAGTTCAACTTGGGGAATATCCACCAGCTGCCTAAATGAACCAAATACAAAGACAAAAAGGTAAATCATTCTTGAAAAATTTTCAGTGGCAAACTACAAGGCAAGGAAAAACTGAGATTTCGTCATTACCGCAAGTAATAACAAAAGTTGAAATGAAAACACCGATGACACCAAACATCATGATGGTTAAAAAGTTATGGAAGAATTGTTTCTTCTTCACCTGAAATCTGTTAGGAGGGTTATCTCTACACATATTAAGAAAAGTTTTGAACCACAAGAGCTGTTTTAACTCTAATATAAGACAAACTCTTACCCTGCATTGAATATTATGGGAGGAAGGAGATATATGAAGAATAGTTCTTCATTAAATGTAAGGATGCGAGAACTCTTTCCTTTGCTGATCAATAACAGTATAATTCCAGCAATGATTCCCTACCAAGGAGAAAGTTAGATACACAAAGGCTCAATAAAAGTGTGTATTCAACATTAATTCTTTTAATAATCCTACAAAACCATCCATAAACACTTTGGACTAGTAAATCTGAAACAATTCAGTAAAGCAGAAAACTACTAAAAAAAGTTCATTCTTTTGAGAAGATCCTATGCTTCATCTTTTGTTCTTAGTGCCTTTGTAAATATTGACTAGTCCATATTTACTATGAGTGAGTAATTTTCTTGACATACATACACATTCAACTCTCACCCTCCCAAACAAACCATTTACCATGAAACTAATCATATAGTATCAGATTCTTCATAAGCTATCTTTTCAACCATTATTGTTCTGTCAACAAACGATCATACATAATGGAGAGAAATGATCATACATAGCTGATAATGGAGAGAAAGAAAATCCTAAAAACATTATAATCAAAATTAAAAATGGGAGAGAATGCAGCTTACTATTATGATGGCAACTATGGATTCATTAATCCATCGATTTCTTTCAAACAAGTGACCAATGATCAAAGTAAGGCAGAGAACAGCCACAAAAAGAGAAATAGGCACCACTTGTGCATGTTCACTAGCCAAATTCTTGGTACACTCAGAGATCAGACTCAGTGGTATCATGCTTCTGAATTTTTCTCTCTAATTAGTAAATTTGTTTACAATAATGGTACTCTCTCAGAACTCATCTCACTAGTTCATATACATAATAATGGATATAAAGCTAATTTTGTTGGAAAACTTGGAAAACACAGAATCAGTAAACATAGGAACTCAGTTGTTGTTGTTTGCTTTTCTAGTAGGAATGATCATAAACAGAAACGAACATGACACAAACAAGAACGTGTAGCGATGATAGCAAGGAACATTGCATGAAGAAATAACGTGTCACTCTCAAAATCAGTCTAAGATGGGAGAACTGACACCATGCAAAGTTAACCTAATACTATGTAGTTAGTCACATCACATTGAACGTATTGAACGCAAATTACTTTAAAGATTTGTCCCATCTGTACTAGTATATCTAGAAACACATGGTTAAATTTATAATTTTGTTATATTTGTAATTTGTTGGTTTAATTTAGATATTTACTACAAATTATGTATAACTTTTAAAATTTTAATATTTGTTTCTAAATATCTTCGTATTCATATATACTCTGTCTTTATTTTTCATTTACAAATTGTGCAGGTTAGAAAAATGTTACTTTTGTCAAAATATTTTAATTTTTATAGAATTTTAATGAGATGTTAATATTAAAATATCTAAATTAAATTTTGTAATTGTTAATTTTATTTTAAAAATTAGTTTAGCAGACATTTATAATGCCAAAATTATTTTTATGAATAATTATTATATATTTTAATTTCAATTCTCTTTCTGTATAGTGCGTGCAGTATATACAATAAAATTTATCCTTGTAACAGATTGTAATCACATCTTAATAATCAACATAATTCATCATTTTTTTTATTAATATAAATTATTATATAATATATAGCAAGTAATCTTACATATTTTATAATTATTTTTTATTTAAGATATTATGATATCTAATTTTTTAAATTATATTTTTTATTTGTTATAATGAAAATAGTATGTACATTTCCAGTTTTCTTTACGACAAATTTGAATAGCATTATATGTATCTAGGCAAAAAATTTAAAATATATAGTCTTGAGGTCTAGACGACTTCAAATAAGAAATTGTACTCTGCATGATTTCACCCTGACACAGTGGTGAAGAGTAAAGTCGTGTATTCTTAAAACGATTTCAGGCCTTGGTAATCGTTTACTAAGTCTTGTAATTGATTACAAAGGGCTGAACTTGTATAGAAGGATACAACTAGGGATGACAATGGGTGTGGTCGAGCACGGATAGTGCTTACTCGCAACCCGACTCGCTACACGACCTGCAGATACATTTTTAAAATAAAATTTAAATAAAATTACAAATATATATATATATATATATATAATATAAATTAAAATTTAATTTTAATTAAATTTAACCTAATAAAATATAATTTTATTTTATTTTTAATTAAATTTAATTAAAAAAATATATAAATTAATTTTTTATTATTTTCTGCGGGTATCGGTACCAGCGGGTCGGGTAGCATATTACTCGTACCTGACCCGTTTAGAAGCGGGTATTAAAATACCCGCTACTCGCGGGTAGTAAATATCTTCGGATAGTAACTATCCGCCGCGGATTTTACCCGCGGATACCCATGCCCGCGAATTTTTTTGTCATCCCTAGACACAACTTCACCAATTACACCCTTTCTGTAATCGATTAAATGGACAAAAATTCTCTGATAATGGATTAAATTTTTATTATTTTACATCTAAATAATTTATATCAATTTAAATGGAAACTATCAAAATAGTATTCTTATATAAAAAATAACAATTCTATTATTGATTATATAGAAAATAACATTCATATAAATAAATTATATTTTATAATAATTTTAATTATACCAAAAATAACAGAACTATGTAATTTATAGCCTAAAGGTTCTAGTAATCGATTATAGGGTTTCTGTAATCGATTACCATATGTGTTAATATAGAAAAGCTCTCTGATAATTGATTATAGAGTTTGTATAACCTATAAATTTAACTTTTTTGTTCTCTCTTCTTGCATACCCTCTCATTTTCCTCCCTCTATAGTGCCTCTCCTCTATTGTTGTACCCACAAAAGCTCAAAAAACATCCCCTTTTCACCTTCTTTTAACCTTTTATAACTCTTGAGTCATCTATTTGACGATCAGGAGGTGCCTAAACGACCACAACAGTGACATCTATGTTTCTACCTGATCAATTTCTTCTATAGAGAAAATAAGTTTCTTCTCCTTTTTCCTTTTGTTGTTTTATTCCTTAAATCTCTAGTTTAGGGGTGATGCATGTGTCTTCCACCTCTATTTCTTGTTCCTTGTTGACCAATGGTTTAAGGACTCACTTTGATTTCAATTCCACAGGTTGTAGGTGTTTCTAGAGTTTCTTGCATTTGAAGCAACTGTTGGACGTTCTTAGATATGTGTAAAACTATCTAAGGTTAGGGAAGCTAGTGAGTTGTCTTTGTTTCTATGATTGCTTTGATATGTATAATTTATGATTTGGTAGTGGATTATGTTGAATTGGTTGAAGTGGAGACATATGTTTTGGTATAACTTGTAAATTAAAGGAGATAAGCTGGATGCCCGAGCGGTGAGAAGTGTATTCCTTGGATATGCTGAAGGAGTTAAGGGATACAGGTTGTGGAGGTTAGATACTAAACTGTCCAAGCTGATCATTAGTAGGGATGTCATTTTTGACGAAACGAGAATGATAGTGCATGTTGAAAATCCTGGATGCTAGAAGAAAACGCTCATTGAGGTGGAGCATACTACTGATAGGGACGTTCGGTCATTGACTAAGGAAGACCGAACGGGTGAAGGGCAAGATGAAAATGTTCGGTCATTAGAGGAGAACCGAACGGGTGAAATACGTACAGATCTTGGTGATGATACAAATGGTATATCTAGTGATGTGAGTCACTCAAGAGGAGCTGGTAATGAATTGAGGAATTACCAGCTTGTCTGTGATAGGGAAAGGAGAATCTCTAAGCCAACCAAACGGTTTGGAGAGGTAGATTTAATTTGCTATGCCTTGAATGCTGTTGAAGATCTTGAAAGCTCGGGTGAACCGAGAAGTTACAAGGAGGCTCTTCACAACAACGATCGAGATCTTTAGTAGGGTGCTATGGAGGAAGAGCTGGAGGCATTGAGGAAAAATAGCACGTTGAGATTGGTGGATCTGCCAAAGGGTAAGAAGGTTGTAGGTTCAAAATGGATCTTCAAGAAAAAAAAAGCTATACCAGGGGGTGAGAAAGCAAGGCTTGTTGCCAAAGGCTTTACTCAGATTGAAGGTATAGATTATCATGAGATTTTTGCTCCTGTTGTAAAGCATTGTTCGGTTAGAGTTTTAATGGCGATAGTTACTCACTGCAATTTGCATCTAGAACATTTGGATGTGAGGATTGCGTTTCTACATGGAGACTTGGAGGAAACAATTTACATGAAGCAGCCGGAGGAATTTGCTATGGATGATAGGGTCTGCCTGTTACAGAAGTCGCTTTATGGCTTAAAGCAAAGTCCAAGACAATGGTACAGGAAATTTGATGATGTTTTGATAAAGCTGAACTTCAAGTGGTGCAATTATGATGACTGCGTGTATACCCTGCATCGTAACAATGAGGTTTTGTATCTTCTTCTATACGTGGATGATATTCTGATGGCCAGCAATGACAAAAGCATGATTCATGAGATGAAAGCAAAGTTGGGTGGTGCTTTCGAAATGAAGGAGCTTGGAGAAGCAAGGCGGATCTTGGGCATTGACATAAAGAGAGATAAACTAAAGGGAAACTTGTTTCTATCTCAAGAGTTATTTGCAAAAGGTGATTTCAAGGTATCAGATGACTGAATCCAAACTGGCTGGCATACCGATCGGTCAACACCTGAAACTCACCAAAGAACAATGCTCGAAGACCGAGGCTGAAAGAAGGAAGATGGAATCTGTTCCATTTTCAAGTGGGATTGAGATCATCATGTATGGCATGGTCTGCACAAGACCTGACCTGACACATGGGGTAAGTGTTCTCAGTCGGTTTATGATTGATCTTGGACAAATTCATTAAGAAACATTGAAGTGGATGCTTAGATACATACAGGGTTCTCTTGATACTGGATTACTCTTCCAGAATAACTTTCAAGGTGGAGGATATATTGAAGGTTTTGTGGATTGAGATTTTGCCGGGTGCATGGACACAAGGAAATCTCGTTCGGGATATGTGTTTACATTGTTCGGTACTGCTGTAAGCTGGAGGTCTACATTGCAATCAATCGTTGCCCTTTTAACCACTGAAGCTGAACACTGTGCGCTCGCTGAAGGGCTAAAGGAGGCACTGTGGTTAAAAGGCTTGATTCGGGAATTGGGTATTGATCAAAAAACCGTCCAGATTCATTGTGATAGTCAGAGTGCCATACATTTGGCCAACCATCAGATCTACCATTCTAAAACAAAGCATATTGACGTCAAGCTGCATTTTGTCAAGAACATTGTGGAATCCGGTGATGTCCAAATCTGCAAAATTGCATCTGATGACAACCCTACAAATATGTTGACTAAGTCGCTCGCTAAAGAGAAGTTTCTGAAGTTGTTGTCCAAGATTGGTTTTTTACCGATTAATCTGTAATTTTTGTGTATCGTTCGGTAATTTTGTTTCTTGTAATAGTTGAGTCTACGTGGAGATTTGTTGTTTATACTCTCATATTGTTGTTTAGTACATATGGTTCCTTTACCACCAATTTCTTTATAAATTGTATAATAATTAAATCCACATCACTTTTAAGTTGAAAAAATGATTACAAAGAAATTAGGTACTCCAAAATGAGTTCCATGTTCATAGTTGACCTTGCTGTGAAAAAACTTCACCAAAAGTACCCACTTATTTTGCCTTTGGTACCAGTTCTGTTCTTGGACCATGACTTTTAGTACATATGGTTCCTTTGCCACCAATTTCTTTATAAATTGTATAATATTTATTTCCACATCACTTTTAAGTTGAAAAAATGATGACAAAGAAATTAGGCACTCCAAAATGAGTTTCATGTTTATAGTTGACCTTGTTGTGCAAAACCTTCACCTGAAGTACTCACTTATTTTGTCTTTGGTACCAATTCTGTTCCTGGACCATGACTTTTAGTAAATATGGTTCTTTTGCCACCAATTTCTTATTAAATTGTATAATAATTATTTCCACATCACTTTTAAGTTGAAAAAATGATGATAAAGAAATTAGGCACTCCAAAATGAGTTTCATGTTCATAGTTGACCTTGCTGTGCAAAACCTTCACCTGAAGTACCCACTTATTTTGCCTTTGGTACCAGTTCTGTTCCTGCACCATGACTTAGTTAATATGGTTCCTCTGCCACCAATTTCTTCATAAATTGTATAAAATTGGTTCCACATTAGTTACAAGTGCAAAAAATGATGACAAAAAAATTAGGCACTACAAAATGAGTTTCATGTTCATAGTTTACCTTCTTGTGCAAAAACTTCACCTAATGTACCCACTTAGTTTGCCTTTGGTACCAGTTCTTTTACTGGACCATTAAAATTATGTTCAATGTAAATGATGGTCAATTTAAAATCATTAATGGTGGTTGTCCACCAATTTAGTGGATTACTTAGTTGTGTAATAAATGTTCTTTTCTTTGCATTGTCAATCACCCCAATCCTCCGGCGGTACTCCGACGGACAACGAAAATGGGTGGGTGGGAGGAAGCGACACTCTCTCTAGGAACAAGGACACTCCGACGACACTCCGACGACACTCCGGGGGCAATGGGTGGGTGGGAGGAAGCTCTAGGTTTCACGTACGAACGGTGGCACTACGGCCGCATTCTGGCAGCAATGGGTGGGTGGGTGGAGAGAAGAGGAGACTCTGTAGGTTTCGCTTACGAACGATGGGACAAGGCACAAATAAAATCTAGACTACTTGACCCATAATACAAAGCCCAAATAAAATCTAGAATACTTGGCTCAAAATACAAGACCCAAAATTATTCTTACTCTACTAAATCTTCAAGATGAATTAATATGGCCGAAGAAAAAGAGTTTAGGCCCATCTTCCATGAATGTTTCTAACTCTTCATAAATGTGTTAGGTCATGACTATGAGTATACCATCAGTTTTGGTTCAATTGTTTAAAATTCTTGAGTTGTTATATTTTTCAAAATATCACACTAAGTGTGTATTCATTGTGTTCGTTTTAAGGTGATGTCATGTTCAATATTATTCAAGTAGATGAATTTGTATAGTGATGGATTGTCTCTTCACTATTATTTTTAAAACACGAGTAAGAACTTTATGATAATTTATATTTTTTTTTCACCTTTTAATTAGTCTTTTAAGATAAAACTTGAAAAAATTTTACTTTTGACAATATTTAAGATGGTAATTGATCTTATATGTCACTCGACGTAATCAGAACACTCATAGTGAACCGTAGGTCTCTCTCTATTAAAGATGATCAATTAATTATTTCTTTTAGACTTCGATGAAGAGTTATCATACACAATAGTTAGAAGTTGAGGCACAAGTGAGTTTAAATACTTCTCATACAAAGAAATCCTTTCACTCCCTTTCCAACTATGGAATCCACAACACTTAGTTTTTATTGTTCACTTTTCTTCATGTTTTTTTTTCACCTTTTAATTAGTCTTCTAAGATAAAACTTGAAACAAATTTACTTTTGACAATATTTAAGATGGTAATTGATCTTATATGTCACTCGACGTTATCATAACACTCATAGTGAACCATAGGTCTGTCTCTATTAAAGATGATCAATTAATTATTTCTTTTAGACTTCGATGGAGAGTTATCATACACAATAGTTAGAAGTTGAGGCACAAGTGAGTTTAAATACTTCTCATACAAAGAAATCATTTCACTCCCTTTCCAACTATGGAATCCACAACACTCATTTTTATTGTTCACTTTTCTTCATGCTTTAATGGGGCTGGAGCTACCGCAGCCCCTTTTGGAGGGACCAATAAGCACTGGGCAAAGGTGCCTCTGTAACATTACTATCGATCAAGACTGGAGATGGAGGGGGAAGTGGTGGAAGGAACAACTCAAAAATCTGTCGATAAAGCTTGCCAGGTTCAATAGGGCTCATGTAAGGTGCTTTCTTGCAATGCTTTAAGCACAAGTTCCCTGTAACAAGTAGAACAATAATCAAATCAACAATGAGAGCATAATTGATTCTACAAACATTTATTAGTGTTGAGTATATCCAGAAAGAGGTTCATGGGGAGACACAAACATCAATAACATATGAGTCCAACCATATAAAGTATTGACACCACTTTTTACCCAAAATTTTAAGGCAATGGGTTAATGGGTCTTTCATTTTTATACAGTGTTCTACTTTCTCATTTCCATCCCATGTGAGACTTAGACTCACACTTGGATTCCCAACAATTAAATCTTTTCCATAATTTCATAGACCAAGTAGACTTTGAGCATTCAAGTTGTACCAACACAAAGAAAGAACCAAGTGATGTCAATTTTCCAAAATCCTTGTTCAAGAAGCAAATGTTGATAGAAAAGGTTGAACTTACTCCTGTATCTGTCAGCTGTCTTGGGGAAGTCAGTAATGATGCCATTGACCTTGGTTCCAATGACAAATGAATTTATCTCAATAGATGCATCAGAGTAGTAGTCCCATGCTTGAGATACAAATTCATTGCTGAAAGTTTCTACATAAACTCGGAGCTTAGCTGACTTCAGCTTTGCCACAATGTTTGTAGCGTTAACTAAAAAGGCTTCAGTTTCAGGAAAAACAGACTTCTTTCCTATTACCACAGAATCAGCAAATCTTTTGATGTCCTTAATAGCCGTTTCAGAAGCATCGCCAATGTTCTCATCAACCTTGTAAACCCTTTCAAATTTGGATTTATCTAATATTTTAAGCACAGAGCTATGAGTTGACTGAATCATAACTTTGTGTGATCTTGGTTTTGTTTTGTTTAGAGCATCAAGGACTGCAGTGATCACATTTAAATTCTGCTTCTCTGCCAGATATGCAGCATTCTGAAAACAGAATGAACGAAAATGGTATTAATTAAGCATAAAAGGAGTAAATCAAGGTGGACCATTCTTTAAAATAGTGAAATATAATCCAATATAGAGGTGGAAGATCTCACCTCTATGCCGATCAAGATGCGAGAGCCTTCAGTCAAGGACAAAAACTCAGACAAGGTTATCAGCTTTCCTTGATTTTGCAATTTTGGATTTCGGAACAGTCTGAATTTCTCGTAAGGTTTCAATATTGAGGCTGCATTAAAAAGCAAATAACAGAAAAAATGAGGGACGTAGAAATTTTTTGAGAACCAATTGCATTTTTTTGTTTTCTTCCTCCCGCTACCTTTCCTAGTACTTTGACCGAATAGATTACTCAAATTGCAAACCAAAACATGTTTGGCATTGAAGAGCATGCCATAGAAACATTAAAAAACAATACCACAGCTAATCAAGAAACATTCAAAAACATCATTCAACTTACGAGTCAATGTTTTTATCTCATCCCATGTCAAGCTGAATGTATATATGCCTCTGGTATTTTTGATCTCCTGAATAGTTGTAGCACGGGTAGTGAAGTTTGTTTGATCAACCGTTGTGCTCTCTAAAAGGTCTACAGAGCTTAAGCAAAAGGGTGTTCCATCCTTGGACATTTGAACAGGACAGTCAAGTACATCTGCCCCATCTGATTTAGCTTTGTTATATGCAAGGTCAGTGCAAGCAGGAGTATCTCCACTTGCTCCATATTTTGTAATAACCAAAGTGTCCACTTTATCATGAAAGATATCAAAGAAGAAACAAATCAATAAGGACAACTTAAATATTGTGTTCCCTGACTAACACTCTCAATACAAGCCATAACTTGTTAACTACAAAATGATCTAACAAATCGGTAGATAGAGCTAATAAACTATACCTTGTTTAGTGGGATTTTCCCCTAGGCCAGAAAAGCAATCTGCAGTAAGAGATGAGATTTTAGAATCTGAATGGGATGCTGATTACAATTATAAATGTTTAGAATTCTTATACAAAGGAAACAAAACTTACTTATTGCTGCAGATGGAGTAACTGGTAAGTCAGACAACACACCATCAACAGAGAAATTACTAACATTAAAGAATGATAGACACTCAGCCACAGGATCATAACTGAAATTGTAGCTAAATGGAACATCATTGATAAGGTCTGATACAAAAACTTGCAACTTTTTTTTGTGAGCATCTGAGACAAGAGAGGTATGTGGTTGCAGAGAAAGGCTCGAGTCTACAGGCCATATATAGCCCTTGGGAACAAGAATTCCTGAAGCAAATTTCTTGATTTGTGCAAGATTTTGCAGGAGTTTACCATAAGATTGATTGGTTGTAGGTTCAATCTCAGACTGCTCTAGAACCCTGAAGATCAAGCTGGTTGTTCCAGGACTGAAACTTGATTTAACTCTTTTTAAGAAATCCACATCAGGTGATGAAATGTAACTGACAGGTACTTTTTTATGAATGAGAGATTGTAGAAATTTTTCTACACTCAAATTTTGTTGCTTGAAGAACGAATCATGCTGCATTGTATTTCAAAATGCAAAATTAATCAACAACAGATATTAAATTGCATACGTTTAAGATCTGCTTTGGAACAAAGAATGTATTCCAGTTCAAGGAAAGGACACGATTACTCTTTTTCCAGTTACCTGAATATTTAACCACAGGCCTGTAGATGGCGATTTTATCAAGTTAGCTACTTCGTGAACATGGAGAATGGGAAGCTTGTTGCCATCGAACTTAGGAGTCCGAGAGTAAACTCCCTGAACAACTGTTTCAATAACAAGATGATTATCATAATATAATATAACAAATAGGAGCAAGGACAGTGAACATATTTCCCAGTTCTGACATGTTATGATCAAAGGCAAGCACCAACAACAAATTCCATGAATAAGACCCTGAATTTAGCCTCTGAAATTGGCATTACCAATCAATTTGCTTCTATAATTTGCCATCAATTTGGTTGCCAACAATTATCAAATCAGTCAATCAGTCCTTGAATTAGACAAATATTAGCCGATTTGCTTCCTAATGTTAGGAATCAAATTGACTAATAATGCCAAAAATTGAAAACTAGAATACTTTTTTGTAATGTCAAGAACAAAATGAATTGATAGTTGTTGAAGTCAAGAACTGAATTTCCACCATGTTGCCAACCAATTCAGGGACTAGATTGATGCTTTCTACTGTGTTTCATGGTTGAGTATTCAATGCCACCACTTACCCCACCTTATCTTTGGAAAAAATTTCTTACTTGATAAAAAAGATATACACATCATCCAAACCAGAAAACAAAAATTCTAAGGTCTTGAGATAGATCAAACTCACGAGAAACATTTGCTAGTTCTTTGAAGTTGTAGTCTACAGAAAACCATCCCCGGGATGAGACCCCATTAACAAAGTAATCCTTTTGCTTGTCTTGGTAAACAACTGAAATATCAGTGGCATTGTCCAGCTTTAGGTCTGGGAAACAAATCCCATTGCCATCCTTTGTTAATTGCACATCACACCATAGAATCACATCTGGGTTACTAGTGTTAAGTGCCAAATTATAGGCAAGTGAACTTGAATCTGGAAATATCCCTGAAAACCCTCCACGTGCTATGACCACTGGTGGAGATCCTGCATAGCAAACGAATTGATATGAAATACAAATGATTTGCTTTTAAAGTTTATCAAGAAGTAAGACAAAAATTCGGGTGCTTTTATGTATACAAGTTAATGCACAAGAGATGAAAACCTATTGAGAAGTTAGCACCATTAACTTCTACATCATTATCTGTAGTACATTGCATGACTTGTCTCTCTGCTATAACTAATTTATTGTTTCCTGACTCACTTTGTAAATGTTAAACTTCTATAGATGAATTGAATTCATTGTCATAATTATTGATTCAAGAGTTCAAATTTCTATTTATTGTCAGCCAATCGGAAATCGAATGTTAGGTAAGAATTTTAAGGTAGTTATTCTAAAATCAAACTTATTATGTTTCACAATTGTGATTGAATGACAGTGTGAGTGAATACACTATTTAATCTCAAATTAATAAAATAGCATGGTTTACTTCTTATTTTCTTTGAGATAGAACAACTGCTAACTATTCATTGCTACGATAATTGCAGTAACAAGACTCGAAAAGGTTGTCCTAAAAGGGTTGAAATAATCAGTTCACTAAAACAAGAGTAAAAAAGATAAGAGAACTAACAAATAAGAAGATAAGTAGGGACCATAGGACTATAAAGGGAAGAAGAAATAGAAACACACCACGCAATGTTTTCCAACCACTTGGTGGTCCTGCTGAAGAAACCAGTGCTACCAATGAGTACTGCAGAATGAGTATAGCAAGTACACTGGAGAGAGCCATGAAGTGCCGCATGAATTTCAAATCTTACCCAGAAAATTCTTTTCTGGGATATACAACTTTTAAGGAGGTACAGATTATTATGCAAGTTCTGAGAAAGATAGCCAAAAATGAGTGAACTTGAACTGTTCAACCAGAAGAACTAGGCTATGATGAACTAGAATTGTTCAACTATAGAGGAATATTAATAGGCATAAGGCTACACCCTTTAGTCACCCCTGGCTTCTTCAATGATAAAATCTACTTAGAAGTCAGGGTCAACCATACAGCTATTTTTCAAGCTTATATGTGTCTGTATGCAATGACTTTTTCTTTGTTATAAATTCTCACTCGGTTTTTGAAACTTTCGTGCAAATGGCACAAAAGTTATGCAGGACTTGTAACCTTTCATCTGCAATGGTTGAAATAAATAATAGCAAATTGATGAGAATGTGTATTGACAGAGAGAAGATGAGTAGAAAAATACACAAAGAAAGGTGAGAGATACAGAGAAAGATGGAAAAGAAAAAGGGTCAGATAACTAGTTTTGTAGCACTGTCCTGTCTATGGCTGCTGCTAGCTAACATTGCTGTGTTTATGTCTGCATTTAATGACACTGCTGCATGTCTTCGTCTGTAACAAATGAAACAGATCCTAGAAATTTCATCCAAATGTTATTTTATTTTTAATGTGTTTTCCTTCATAAAGTTTCATATGCCAGAAATTTATTTCGATTTGCAAATTTATGTCATTTTTTGAAGAGCAGGTTATCATACTAAAAAATTGAATTAAATGCATTTTAGTTCCCTAATATTTGGTAAAAAGTCGTGTTATATATTGAAAATAAATTATTTTCGTTATTTTATTTTTATAAATAGTTAGTTTTATTATCTTCAACTCCAAATCTGATGATAATTATTTACAGCTTACACATTTGATGAAATTAAACCAAATTGATTAAGTGATTAATTTTTCTATTATTAATTATGTCATACGATTTAATTTTTTTATTTTCGTATTATTTAATTTATACGAATTAGGTACGAAAATATGTTATTTACACATTTTAACGGAATAATTATTTTTTTCTGCAAATCTTGCTTTTTTTGTGAAAATAAAAATTAATTGATTTAAATTTTTTATTTTTGATAAATATTTAATTCAAACCGAACTCTAAATACTCCTAGTTGGAAGAAGAAAAACTAACCATAATTATCAACAAAAATCTTCCCCATAACTTTTATATTATTATCTTTCATACTCAATTTGGAATGTGTTACTAGTAAGTTACATAGAAATTGAGTTACTTTGTCAAAGTTAGTATATATCAATATAATTACCAAACTAACATAAAATTTTACACTAATTTTAAAAGTGACCGATATTAAAAATATGATTAACATGGAAATATATAATTTCTTTAATATTAATTATTTTAATTCTAAATTTTAAACCCTAATATTATTTACTCAAATTATGGAATATTGTTATTTAGTAGAGTCAAATCTCTACTATCCCACGTAGATGTGAGTACTATATGCATCATAATTTTTTAATGTATATACCGAATGTTGCACTTTACATTTTTTTTAATATGCATCATATTTTTTAATGTATATGCCGAATGTTGCACTCCACATTATTTTAATAAATATATAAGTGGTTGTGAAATAAAATGGTTTGCGACATTCCATAGAACGTGATAGGCATAAATAAACATTTTTATTAGGTTTCAAATTAGGCTGTATTCATGAAGGAAGTATGTTCTTATGATTTAAGATATTCGAGCATAATTTTAAAAATTGATAGAACAGAAAAGTGCAGGTAGTGTTGTTCTGAAAGGAAATGCTACCACGTTTGCTTCACTTGGTCAATCCAATAATAAACTTATATGTGTGTAGCAAATTGACCTAGTCAAATATAAAGAGTACTTATGATATTTTTAAACTTTGAATGTCACATGTAATAGCAGTATTAAGAGGTAGTCGCAGCATTAATATTACGGAAGAAATTCATTTCTGATTAAGGGAATATATTGATGGATTTTTTTTTTCATTAGATACCATAAGAATAAATTATGAATAAATTAATATTATGTTTAACCTAAAATTTTAATATAATAAGTTTATGAATTTTTTATTTTATAAAATATTAATTTTTTTTAATGAAAAGCTTGAATTTATACTTGAATTTCTAATAATTCATCCATGAAAGATGTTCTTTTTATATTTCTTATCGAACATAAACATTCTAAACCATGCGTTGACTTTCGTATCCTACAACAATAGGACACTTGCATGAAATTTCAGGAAGATTTTTTTTTTTTTTTTACTTTGACACAATTAACATATCTTTTAAGAAATTCATTAAAAATATATAACACTAATACAACATGAACTTAACCCACATTAGATATAAGTATTATTTTTAACTCAAAAAGTTTTAAGAGAATAAATTTATAGATTTTTTTTTTCAATTTTTTTATTTCTACTTAATATATAAAACTTAAATTCACATTAAATGTTCAACAATAAAAAGTAAAAGTGAGAGTGTGACATCCCAATCACATAGTATAAAAAGAAAACCACAATGGTTATTTTCACCTATACACAAAGGATAACAAATTTGAGGTATATCTAGTCAAGACAAAAAATGGTAGCTTTTTAGCTTCGGTTCTAAATTAAGGCAAGTTCTTTTGCCTCGTTCATAGCAACCGTGATAGTAAAGGGGGTCTTTTTTCCTTGGTTTTGTTTGCAACCGAGGTGGTAGAAGGTATTTTAAATAAATTTGTTTTCAATTTTTTGTTTACTGCTTGGGTTATTGCCTCGGTTTAGGGGAACTGAGGCAGTACATAGGGGTCTTGATAGTGGTTCTGCGTTCACTCGAGATCGTAAAGGGTATTTTTCTTAACTTTCTTTTTCATTTACTGCTTCGGTTTATTCAATAAATAAAGGAGGTATTTTTGCCTCGGTTCTGTCTACAATTGAGGCGGTAGAGCATATTTTATATAAACTTTATTTTTTGTTTACTACTTTAGTATATGGAGGAGTTATCACATATTCAATAAAATATAACAATTAACAAGACCGTGAAAAATAAAATTGCATTATATAGTCCTGTGAAAATGGGTTAAAACTCGCGAGTCGACCCGGCCCACCACCGGTTCAAGCCAGGTTAGGTTTGAAAAAAAAGTAATTTTTTTATACGAGCCAATTTTCAACCCGACCCATTAGAACTCGGCTCACCCGGGTTAAACCCATGGTGAACCGGGTTGGCTCACCAACCCACTTAATTTAATTTAATTACTTATCACTTTGTATTTCAATATTATTAGTTAATACTTTTTTATTGTATTGTAGATGGATAAAAAAAAGATGTTTCAAGAGAGCAAAATATCATGGATTTATCCATTCAAGACTCTAATCTTATAAATGGATAAGTAACACAAAAAATTATTAATATTAGGAACTTATTTGTTCACTTTTTGTGTTTACTTTTGGATTATATGATATTTTTTTATTTTGAATTGTTGTTGGAGTTAAACATCATTTCAGAGTAAAATTTATTTAGATTTGAACTATAAAAGTTTTGTAATTTTTTTTTGGATTTGAAAAAAAAAGACTTGTAATTAAGTGAGACAGTGAGCCAACCCGTTTAACCCATTAATCTATGGTGGGTCACACTAGTGCAAAAAGGACTTTAGACGTCTGTTATTTTGGGCTTTTAATTAACGTCTGATCTCTGTCTGACGTCTATATGGGTGACGTTAATGAGACGTCGGACCCTTTAGGTTAGACGTCTCTATAGACGTCCGACCTATATAGGTCTGACGTCTATATAGACGTCCGATCCATATAGGTTAGACGTCTCTGAGGTTGCTCCTGACTCATGGTGATTCGAGTTTACAACTTTATATTTTATTTGAAGAGAATGTATTGTACATTTTTTTATTGGATGATTTTAAAAACGTAGTGGAGGGAATTGGAGGAGTACAAAACACAAGAAAGTGCCGCCATAGAACGCCGCCTAAAGACACGAGAATAACTACATCAAAACCCAACGAAAACGCATTTTAATCGGTTCAAATAAAAGATAATGCATCAAAGAGTGATGTAATCAGAGTAAAATTAATTTAAAACGGTGCAAAAGTGATAAAACGAACCTGAAAAGCGTAACCCGTAGAGAGAAAACGCGACGAAGATGATGAACAATGAGTGCGCATAACGGCTGTCTCGCGTTCACGGTGTTTTAATGCCAAAATTTAGACGTCGGTACCCCCAATTAACAGACGTCTAAAGTGCTTCAGAAGTCAGAGTGGTGGAATCTGACGTCTAAATGGAGTCAAAAAGTGACTTTTTAAATTTCTGGATTTAAGGTTTAGACGTCGGTTCCCCCAATTAACAGACGTCTAAAGTGCTTTAGAATTCGGAGTGGCGGGATCAGACATCTAAATGGAGTCAAAAAGTGACTTTTTAAATTTCTGGATTTAGGGTTTAGACGACAGTTCCCCCAATTAACAGATGTCTAAAGTGCTTCAGAAGTCGGAGTGGCGGGATCAGACGTCTAAATGGAGTCAAAAAGTGACTTTTTAAATTTCTTGGTTTAGGGTTTAGACGTCGGTTCCCCCAATTAACAGACGTCTAAAGTGCTTCAGAAGTCAGTTCCCTCCATAACAGACGTCTAAATAGAATAAAAAATTATTTTTTTTTTAACTTTTTCGTTTAGTTTTGGCATCTATTTAGGGGGGCCGACGTATATGAGTATTTAGACGTCAGGCCCTTCCGTTACCGACGTCTAAATAGTTGTTTTATTTACAAAAAATGCTACCGATCATTTTTTACGTTGGATATTTGAGGGTCATACGACTAAAGGGTGACGTTAAAGGTCTTTTTTGCCCTAGTGTCATGCCGAGTTCAATTTTTTTCGGCTCATTAATAAGTGAGCCGGATTGGGTCAGGTTACCCATTTTGACAACATTATACAAAACATAACTACAAATTTAACTGTATATACAAGCCAAGACAAAACTATATATTGAGCAACTAATCTAAGGAGTATTAAACATCTGTTGATCCTTCATCAAAAGCTTGCTCTGCCGAAACATCATCATCCTCTGCTCACACTCACCAGATGATCATTACCAAAGAGAAAATCAACGCATACGAACAAACAACATAGAACACATAAGAAGGTAAGCTAAAGATAAAACAATTCAACATGGTAAAATTAAATTCCATCATATATCATACTTTGCACATAGTAAACAAAATATCTTAATCATACCATAGACCTAAACTTAGCCATTCGAATATAATATAAATGTCGAGTCATGACCGGTTCTGCACTTGTGTGGTGGAACAACTAACCCACTCAAAGCTACCACACAAGGTTAGTCTGTTAAAACATCGTTTGACAACTGAAGAAAGGCCCCTAGGCTAGGATCTCCTAATACTTACTTGCACGACATGACTCATCTCTCTCTAATTGAGCATGGATGATCATTAGAGTGTCAAGATAACCCCCATATCAAGCTTCTTACATTTATACTAACAACATTCGATAGAATCACGAAGAATTCTCCTTAGAACCCTTTCAACCTCAAACCCCATACCATCAT